GGGCAATAGTGCTGTGTGCACTTGTATGGACTTCCCTTAATCAGCAGTGGTTTTGGCAAGAGTTTGAAAGGACACAGCAAAGACTGGCAAAGATGTTGGTTCTACCAGGGATGAGATACTTATTGACATCAGCTGAAATTAGAGAAGTTTGCTTTTGGTTTAGCCACTTAAGAAAACTTGCCTGCTAAGTGAGAAGCACCTTAGTATTCTTTACAGAACATACTCATTAGGAACAATCGCTCCTACTAAACTTACTACATCAAGAATTCTGTCTTTGGTATCCAGCATTGCATGCTTTTGTTTATAAAAGATAATGGATGTGTGCATTTATTTCATTATTTTCTTTACTGAAATTTATCATCGTTGTCAGTTTAATTTTAAGGCTCTTATAATATTGTAGTCTACATTTAGTCACATTGTACTTTCTGTTTCTTCAGTTTATACCATTAAATAATCTTCAGTAAAAACAGGTTTAGAAATGTCTTTAAAATGCAAAATGTATTATTCTGAAAAAATACAAATCATACTGTGACATAGTCAAAAGGGAAGTAAGGAATTTGAATTCATCTAGTAGGTGATGTCTTAGAAAAAGCATCCTTAAATGCATGCATAACAAAATGAGAACATTCTATGGCCAGCTGTGCTGTTGTGTTACATGGACAATCATGGAATTACAGAATCACAATATGGTTTCAGTTGGAAGGGACATTCAAAGATCATCTAGTCCAAAGCCCTGTCCAACCTGACTTAGAACACTTTCCATGACAACACATTGACAACTTCTCTAGGAAACCTGGTATAGTGTCTCACCACAAAAAATTTCTTCCTTGTGTCCAATCTAAATGTACCCTCTTTCAATTTAAAACCATTGTCCCTTTCCTGTCACTACAGGCCCTGGTCTTTCTCCATCTTTCTCATAAGCTTGCTTTATATGTTGAAAGGCTGCAATAAGGTCTCCCCTGAGTCTTCTCTTCTCCAGGATGAACAACACCAACTCTCTCAGCCTTCCTTCATAGCAAACCTGTTTCAAACCTCTGACCATTTTCATGGCCCTCCTCTGAACCCATTCGAACAAGTCTATGTCTTTCTTGTACTGGGGGCACCAGAGCTGGATATAGTATTCCAGGTGGTGTCTCACAAGCTATATAAGGGAAGAATAATTTCCTTAGACCTGCTAGCCATGCTTCTTTTGATACAACCCAGAATACTATTGGCTTTCTAGGCTGCAAGTGCACATTGCCATCTCATGACCATCAGTATCCCCAAGTCCTTCCTGTGGGGTTTCTCTCCATTCAGCCTGCCCCAACCCAGGTGTAGGATCTTGCACTTGGCCTTGTTTACTTTCATGAGGGTCACATGGGGCCATCTCTCCAGTCTGTCAAGGTCCCACCTGCATGGCATCCCTCCCCTCAGACATATCTATTGTATCACTCATCTTGGTATTATCTGCAGTATTCTCCTCTAACCAGTGATATTCCTGTGATATTCCCCTCTATTGATAGAATACAGCAAAACTTATATGCAACTCAGCAGCTAGAAATTGGGAGAGAACAGCATCTTGCATCAACAGGTTCTCAGAACAGACTATATATTGTCAAACTAAGAAAAGACATACACAGGATTCACAATTTTATATTATATCATATCAGTCATCTATTTATAAGATTTTTTTTATAAAAGAATCTGGTGTTCCACGGGATTTGGATGACACTGGGGAGAATCTCTCTACAGTCATCTCAAGTGCTCAAAACAATGTCATAATAGTGAGCTTGTCCTTAAGACCCTAATGCTTACTTAAACTCCTTCCAAAGCAAAAGCTGTTTTAGAGCAGCTCACCTTATCAATGTGTGGAAATCCTTATCAGAGGCCAGATGGTGCTTCCATAGGAAAAGACAGAGAAGAAACAGAGAATTGAAAGCCACACATGTTTTCCCTGAGAAACTGCTGTTGTCAGAGACAGAGGCATGAGTTTTGATGACCAATACTAGCAGCCACCAAATCACACAGCATTTTACATAAATCTTGCTTAGTCTCGCTTAGACTCGCTTAGACACGACACTGTCCTCACATGATGGCTGAACTACCCAAATCTTTCTCACAGGTGGCAGACTAGCTGTATGTCGTAAGAACTCTGTTATATTAATCCTTACAGTTTGCAACAGAGAAAAGTATAGAAGCTTCCACTCAGTTTCTTCCCAGTTTTAGCTCTGCCAGAAATAGAAACTCAGGTGGTATTGCAAAATTCAGCTGTCCTTCTATGAAGGCAACTTTGTCTTTCCTATTTGCTCTGAAGTCCTGTAGTTAAAATAGCGGAAGCAAAATTTTCACTAAGACTACAACAGGCATCATGTTGGCAGTACATTACTGTCCTACAAGGGTTATTGGGGCTGATGCAAGGGAGTAATAGAAGCAACTTAATTATGTAAATGTGTGAACCACCTTATTTCCTGTTTAGCCTATCCACGATGAAGCCTCACCAGGTTTAGTATCATGATGTAGACAAATAAAGGTATTACGTCACAATCTAAGTGGTATAAACATCACTTTAGCACCTTACTGCAACAAAATAATCACGGAAGCAGAAATGCCTTAAAATAAAATAGGGAATCACAGAACTGCAAATTAACTCCTCATCCAAGTAATCCCTCAGCAAAGAACAGAAAACCCCACTGAACTGAAGAAGAAACTACTTACTTATTAGCACTGGAATGTCTGGTCTTTTCTTTTAGTGATGCAATAATGTACTGAAATGGGTCTGTCTGGATTGGAGTTAATTTTCTTCATAGCAGCCCATATGGTGCTATGCTTTGCATTTGTGAACAGTGATGATAATACTGTTGATAACTAATGTTTCCATTATTGCTGAACAGTGCTTACACAGCATCAAGACCTTCTCTTGTTTCTCTCTCTGCTGCCCCAGTAAATCAGCTAGGCATGGACAGGAGGCTGGGAGGGGTCAGGACTGAGACACTGGACCCAGTTTGACCAAAGGAATATACCACAGCATATAACATGTTAGCAGTAAAAAGCAGGGGCAAAGAGAAATGGATGGGAGTTTTCCAAGGTGGCTATTGCTCAGAGACTGTCTGGGCATTGGTCAGCTGGTGGTGAGTGATTGCTCTTGAATCTCTTGTTCATTTGTTTGCTTGCTTGTTTTTCTTCACTGATTAAATGGTCTTCATCCTGATGCATGAGTTTTCTCACTTTCACCCTTACAATTTTCTCACCATCCTGCTGTGAAAGACTGAACAAGGAACTGCAGGAGGCTGAGCAAACTGTGTGAGGCTTAGATGCCTATGACTGTTAACCCACAACAGATGTATTTGCTAACTTTTCAGCCATTGAAATGTCTGCCTCTCAGTTCCATTAGTAGCTGGAGAACTAATGTAAACAAGACATCTAGTATCACCATCATCCTAGTCACCCTCTTATCTAATTCAGCTCAGATGAGTCATCTCCAGGGCATAAGTAGGACACGTGAAGTAGAATTGCTTAAAAAAAAAAAAAAAAAAAAAAAAAAAAAAAATTAACAGCCTGTCTGGGCAGAGTGATGGAGACAAACACATCTCTTTCTGACTTTCCTGCCTTCTGAAATCATGGCTTTTCAAGTTTTTTTGTCCTTTCTCAGTTTCTTACATGTATGTCAATGTTCACAATTTTGTTTGTCCCAGCTTGCAGGCATAAGAAACCAAGTAGAAGATGCATGACATTTTTTATTTTCATATATAATCCCTCTAATCTGACAGAAGTGTATTACAGAATCTACAGTCAATTGCCAGTAATTGCTGTGGCAAAAATTATGAAAATGGTTAGAAAAAGCCATGAGTCTTAAAACTTAATTTAATTCTGATAACAAACTCAGGACAACATAGATGAGTGCAACACTCTTCACCAAGATCTGCCTGTGGGAAGCAATGCCTTACAATTCTGTGTCACAACTGTTTTTTTTACCTCTGGACTCTCCAGTGGATTAAGTTATGCCACCTGACAGCTGAGTAATAGTGAAACATTAACCCTCCCTCTAGGACCATAAGACATACATAGGACTCACCAGGACCTCCTGGATAGAACCTTTACACTACAACTTCACATAATTCCGTTTTTTGATCTATCACATTCCGTCTTAAAAGTATTTTGGTTTTTACATATGCTGCTCTTATGGAAAACAAAGTTACAGAGTTTCATCCCATTCATGATTTGGAATGGTCTTTGGATTGTCAGTCTGAATTTATTTGTAGAAATTTTAGAATTTAATTAATTCTTTTGCCAGTTTTGCCAGTTTTACCTTTAAATAGCTCTTTCCTCATGTTTACTTCTCTGATGTTTTCATAGGTAGCAGATATATCAGAATTTATTTTACTAATCTGAATAAACCAATACTTCTAATCTCCTCCCATGAAATAAAAATTCACCCCATCAAATGGTCCCAATAGACTTCTTTTGCATCTGTTTCCATCTGAAATAACCTTTCTTGAATCTGGGTGACAACAACTTTATGTATGTATCACATTGGATTGTCCTTCTGTGACTGTTAGATTAAGAATCTTGTTTCTTTAATTATTTGCATTTAATGAGATCGTGACTCACTGTACAAATTACTAGTTTCTGAGTACATGACCTTGAACTCTGCAATTATGAGTTTAATCTCCCTACTTTTTTAGAATCCTACCCGTTCATCCAGATTTTCATATTTCCTCCTGTTTGTGCAATTACAATAACACCCAGACCATGTCAATTTCGTAACCCAGTTACTCAAAATAATTAAGAAATAAACTCTAGACTG